TCTCCCTCCTCCTCGCCCTCTCGCCCCCGCGCCGCTGCAGCCATCGCGGGCAGCACCAACATGAGCAGCCTGGTGGTGATGAGCAAGGGCACCAAGTTCACGCAGCAGAGCTACAAGGTGTCGGACTCCTTCCCCTTTGAGTGGATCAAGAAGAAGTGGCGGGAGGCCTTCCACGTCACCGCCATGGCCACCAGCGGCACGCAGGTGCGGCACAGGGAGCTGGGGGCCGGGATCTGGGCAGCTGGGAGCTGGGACCGTCCGCCCGCCTGGCGTGTTGCTCGCTGCAAGGCAGCGCATCCCCGCAGGCTCTGCCTCCGTGCGGAGCCAGACCCGCAGCGCTGGGCCACTGCCATGCCTGCCACCTCACCCTCTCTGGCCACCCCCTGCTGCTCCACCCCTCCTCTCCATGCTTCCTAATGTCCCCTCTCTGGTCGCCCCCTGCTCCCCCCCTCCTGCCGCAGTGGGCTGTGGTGATGAGCCGCGGCGCGGGTTACCTGGACCAGGTTGTGGAGCTGGACTTCCAGTACCCCTCAGAGGGCATCCACAAGCGCTGGGACGGCGGCTACCGCATCACCGCGCTCGCCTCCACGCCGGACCAGGTGCGGAGCCGGCGGTGCCAGCACGGGGCGGGGCCAGTGTGTGACCTGTTCCGTGTCGGTGGGTCGGTGGTTGTGTGCGAGTCCGGAGCGGGACGGGAGCGGCTTCCACGCTCCGGGCTGGCAGCCGCCAGCCGTGGCAAGCTGTCGGCGCCGTGCCCGGCATCCACCCTTCCTTGCCCCACCCCCCACCCCCACCCGTCCACACACGCACACGCCATCCCCGCCTGCAGTCTGCGTTTTTGCTGTCCATCCCGCGGCGCGCGATGTCTGATGAGACGCAGGAAACGCTGCGCACCTCCACCTTCCCCTCAGGTGCGCAGTGAGGCGCGCGTGCGGGGCGGCCAGCTGCTCGGGTGTGCGCCTGAGGCTCGCGACCCGCTGCGCGCTTGGGTGGCCCAGGCACCAGCCCAACCCTGCCTGCCCGCCCTCCCGGCTGCCCCCTGCAGAGCATGTGAAGGAGAAGTGGGCAAAGGACCTCTATATCGCAGGCATCGCCTACGGCAGGACCGTCACGTGAGCGCGCCAGCCAGCGAGCCGCAGCCAGCCATGGCGCGCGCATCGGGCCGCGGCGCGCGGCGGCGGCAGCCCCAGCTGCGGCCGCCCAGCGCCCCGCGCGCCCGGGCGCCGGCAGTTTTGTAGCAGCCCAGGCAGCAGCAGGATTTGGGCGGCGGCCCGCCCAAGCGCTGGGGTTGGCGCCGCGGGAGCTCAGAGGTGCAGCTGGACCGCCACTACCAGCCCACAGTGAACAGAACAGATGACCCCTTCCTCGCCATAGGTCCAATAACCGTTTTGCGCTGTATCATACACACTCACCCTCGCCGCCCACGCCACTCCTGATGACCCCCTGGCGAGCCGGGTGCATGCGCAGTCCTCCACTCATCCTCCCGCCCTCATCCGGCGCTCTGGCGGCACTTTTAGCACGACTGTTTTTGCTGCTTTCTTCCCTTTCTGTTCTTGTTTCCTTTTCCTTCCCCATGCCGCTGTTACACCACGATTCTGACTGTCAGCGAACGGGAGCGAACGAGAGCGGTTGGGGTGGCGAGAGCCGCGGCCCAGTTGCCGCCGCCAGCTAGCCCTTGCAGCTTGCATGCTGCAGTTGATCGTGAGGGCTAGTCATGACATGGTGAGTCTTGCCACTTGCCAGGAATTGACTTGATTCATGCACTTGCATCACTGCAAGCGAAACGGGCGCCGCTGCGGCTGCTGTGCCGCCTCAGCGCCCGCTCTCCTCATAGGAAGCGATCTGGCGGCCCCAATGCCCTCTGCTCACTTTCCTCTACTGCCCGGAAGCACAGGCGGGCTTTTCGAGCCAGCACCTTACCGCGGCCACACTCGTCTGCTGCCTTCCCTGCTTTTACAGTGGCAATAGGAGCCAGGTGACCGCCCGCTGTGTAAACCCTGCACATTGAGAGGCGTGCTGCGGCCCTGCACCGCCGCTTTGCTGGTCGCGGTGAGCCGTGGCCTCGCTCCGCTACCTCACCAGGTGGTTGTCGATAGCAGTGGGATCCACACCATCTGACGCCGCTGCTTCCTGCATCAACGCGCTTCTCGCTCCTTGCACCGCCGCCCCGCTCCCGCCTCCCTGGCCTTGCGCAGGCGCCGCACGAATTGCGCAGAATGGCGGCCAAGCCCGGCAGCGCTGCTTTGGAGGTGCAGCACCAGGATGGCTGCCTGGTCACCTCTGGCGGCACCGTGGTGCTTGAGCAGCTGGCTGGGGAGGTGCGCGTGCGGCAGCTGGGTGCTGCCGCCGTCATCGGCCTGGAGCACCCAAGCGGTCAACCTGTGGCTGCCGCCGACTTCTCAGTGGGCAAGGTGGGTGCTGGCTGCGTGGCCATCGCGGCCTGTAACTGTGCCTCAACATCTGCCATCAAGCACACCCACCACCCAGTGCCACGCGTGCTGCTCGCAACCCCCAGCACTGTGCTGCCTCCGCGCCGGCGCCGGCGCCGCTGCCCGGCGCCCACCCGCCGCCATTGCACCCTCGCTCCTCCCGCCCCGCCCTGCCCGCAGCTCAGGGCCAGCCGGTTCCTGGCCCTGGGGCGTACCAGCCTGTGGTGGATGACGCCCGCCTGGGGCTGCAGCACCCAGCATATCCCTGAGGAGACGCAGTGCCTGCTGCTGGAGCTGGAGGCGGGTGGCGGCTACGCGCTCATCCTCCCGCTCATCGACAGTGGCACCTTCAGGGCCACCCTCAGGCCGGCCAGGTGAAGGCTGGGACATGTGGGCGGGGTGGCGGGCCTCTGGGCGTGCGACACATCCCAGCCGCTGCCCTTCCGCCCTGCCGCAGCACCGGGGATGGCGGCCTGGTGGCGCGCGTCGAGAGCGGCGCGGCGGCTGTGCAGGCGGCGGCCTGGCCAGGCGCGCTGCTGGTGGTGGCCGGGCGCGACCCATTTGATCTGCTGGAGCGAGGCGTGACCGCCGCCGCCCGCCTGTCGGGCACCGCCAAGCACCGCTCCCAGAAGGAGGTGCCCCCTGCCTGCGACGTGTTCGGGTTCTGCACGTGGGACGCTTTCTACAGCAGGGTCAGCGCGTCGGGCATCCAGGCTGGCCTGGCCAGCCTGGCGGAGGGAGGGGTGCCCCCTAAGCTTCTCATCGTCGACGACGGGTGAGCGTGGCAGCGGCGGGCCCAGGGCCAGGCATGCCTGCTCCTCCATTGAGGGCTAAGCTTGCATCAGCCACAGCCCCCACTGGCAACGCCGCCTGCCTGCACTGCCGACCGGCCGATGCTGGACCCCCTCACGCGCCCCCTGCTGCCCTGCGTGTGCTGCTGCAGCTGGCAGCAGACAGATGTGGACGAGCAGTATCGGCAAGCAGGTTGAGGCCATAGAGCTGGCTGTTTGGCTTGCTGGCAACAGCAGCAGTGCATCATATGTGCACACTACTTCCCTACTCGATGCGTGACACCTGCTGCCCGCTCGCTGCCCTGGTGGCTGCCCGCAGCCGCCGCCGGCTGCGTGCATGCTCCCGAGGGCGCCGTTGGGCTGGGCTCAGCAGTGCATGAGGTGGAGGAGGCGGCGGCGGAGCTGCTCAGCGGACCCGACAACCATGTGAGGCTGCCTGCCGTCTTGTTTGGATCCCACCTCTTGCCTGTCCTCTTGTGCGCCGGCCTGCCTGCTGCTGGCGCTCCTCCAGCTGCTAAGCAGGAAGTTCCAGTACCAGGGATTGATCCGCGGCTTGTGCTGCGTCGCGTCCTTGCTGTTGGCAGATGGATGAGAACCTGCGTGCGATGCACCAGATCCAGAGCGAGGATGCGCAGCAGGAGGCCCAGCCGCAGCAGGTGGCTGGCGGCCAGCAGGGGCCTGCTGCGGAGCCCACGCAGCAGGCCACCAACGGCGGCCTACTTGGGGCGGTGGTGGCCTGGGCGCGAGCCGCGTGCGCTGGCCTGGCCGGCCTGGTGGCACACCTGGAACCTTCCTTCTTCAATTTCTGCCGGCGGGGTGAGGGTCAGAGCAGCGAGCTACCATGCATACACGCATTTGCACTGTGTGTCATGCAACATCCAGGGCCTGACTCCCCCCTCACTTGCCCGCGCCCCCTCACTTGCCGCCGCCCAACCTGTGTGTGTGTGCGTGTGCAGTCCTGGATGCCACACCCTCCAACTCGCGCCGCATGCGCCGCTTCCAGGCGCTGGCCGCCAGCTCCCTGCTGCGCGCCCCGCTCCTGCGCTTCTACTCCTCGATATCTGGTGCGCCGTGCTGCTCGGCTCGACTCATTGTGCACCGCGCCGGCGTAGCACGCGGCATCGCTGACCAACTCCAAGGCTGCTGCCCGTGATCACGCCGGGTGCGCCCATTCGGATCCCCCCTGCCTGCCTGCGCAGACCATACACGGCGCCTGGTGTCCATCAAGGCCAACGCCAAGTTTGGCGGCCCAGATTCCGGCCCCGACCACGGCCTCAATGTGCGTGAGCTCCGTACAGCGCCCTGCAATCCCGCCGGTTCGAAAGCTAGCTCCCACCGGCTGCAGCACCCTCACGTGATGAGCGCCGCGACAGCACGCCCGGTTCTTCACCCCTGCTCTCTTGCTTTGCCCGCAGAGCTCGGGCGGGGATCTCAAGGCAGTGGTGGCACAGCTGAAGCAGAGGTACGGCCTGCAGCACGTCTTCTGCTGGCACGCCATGGCCGGCTTCTGGGGCGGCCTGGGCCTGCACGACCCGGAGATGGCCAAGTACCGCGTGAGTGGCGCCGTGTGTATGTGTGTGTGTGTGTGTGTGTGTGTGTGTGTGTGTGTGTGTCCGGGCTTGGAGGTGTGGTGGTGAAAAAGCAACCAGCTGGCTGGGTGCGCTGCGCCTGTGGCCGTGTGCTGAGCTTATGTCTCCATCCCCCCCCCACCCCTCCCCGGACGGCTTCCCTGGCTGCAGCCCAAGCTGGTGCTGCCCACGCCCACCGCAGGCATCCTGGCCACCGACCCCGCTGCCGCCTGGGTGCAGCCTGTCCTCAGGTGCCGCCTGAGCTGCCTGCGCCCGTGCCGCTGCTTCGCCGAGCGTTCGTTTGCACCAGGCAAAGCTATGTGAGCTGCTGATGGTGTCGACACCTGGCCTTGGCTGCTTGCCTGGCGCGCCGTGCAGCGGCGTGGGCCTTCCCGCCGACCCTTCTGAGCTGCATGCCGACATGCATTCCTACCTGGCCAGCTGCGGCGTGGATGGCGTCAAGGTGGATGCAGGCCGTGCACCCTGCAGGCGGTGCCTGCCTGCCTGGGACTCTGCTGTGCTCTGGGCCAGGCTGGTTGGCTGCCAACCATTGGCGGCGCTGTGCTGAGCAGCGTGGCCTCCGCCCCCCGCGTCCCGCCCTGTGCAGGTGGATGTGCAGAGCACGCTCGGCCTGCTGGGCAGCGGGCTGGGGGGCGGGCCCGCCACCGCCGCCGCCTACCACGCCAGCCTGGAGGCCTCGGCGCGCCGCCACTTCCCCGGCAACCAGCTCATAAACTGCATGTGCCACTCCACAGGTGACTCACCTGTGACCGGACTGGGATCCTGGCTGCCAGCCGCCTGCCAGGCTGCCGGGCTGGCAGGCATCTGCCCTCCCGCCAACCTGATAATTGGAGGTGCCCATCCACTTCACATGCACACTCACTGCCGTCTTTCCTTTCCCTGCCCCTTTCCGCTGCTGCTGCCACAGAGGATCTCTACCAAATGGAGGAAACCAACCTGGCGCGGTGAGCTGCGCAGGGGC